ATTGAAAAATATGACTTCTGATTCTTTAACAAAGTATTTTCCAAAAGATTTATTTTTAGTCGATTCAGTTTCATTCTTGTAGCAAACTAATGTAGCTCTGGCAGCATGACTGGTAGTAACATCCTCTTGCTGGATGTTATACTGTATATTTTAGCAGTTGTCTACAACTGAACTTATGCAAATATCACATGAGCAGAAACAGACATTTGCTTAAATAAGCTTAAACCAAATTCATTCAAAAGAGTAAACAGTTAACCGCCCAACACAATGACTGCCTTTTATTCTTCTATTCAGAGATTAATTCAGCAAAACTTTCATTTCAGAAAGCTGACAGTAAAAACTTGTAGAGCTGCGTTACCTCCCGGGATGTCCCAGGCCCCGCTCTCCCCAGGGGACAGGGGTCGGACCTGGGGACGGTGTGACTTCATGTTAGGCAGAGCCACTTTGTCCAGATCCACGGAGAGAAGCTTCTGGTGCTTCCATAGGTTACTGGTGCAGAGGAGAAACATGAAGATAGCAGCAGAGAGAGAGAGTCAAATTAACATTTTAAAAGGAAGCAGCATGTTCTGCTGCAATAGATCCCGTTTTGGTTCATCAGCTCTACTCAAAGTTTGAATAAACAACACATTTTAATTCATTTTGAAAGCTTCAATGCATCATTCAGTCATTTAAAGGATCGTTCCTACTTTACATATCCTGTTCTCATAAATAATCCCATCAAGGGAGGAAAAAAACAACACCTATAAATTGTTAAAATAACATAGATCCATGAAATGTAAACTCAATTGGAGTTGGTTTCACCTGGGGGCCGTCTCATTGAGTGGCTGCGGCTTTGCCCAGGATAGGTGGGGACACGCTGGTAGGGGGCGTGGCTTAGGGTCGCCCAGGTGAGCCTCCAGAACCTTGGAGTAACGGTACAGGTGATTCCCTGAAAAATACAAGTAATGTTTAATTATACCTACAAAAGCAGACAGACAGGGAAAGAAGACATTGAGTTTCTCAGTCACATCTGAGATTCTTGTCAAAACTAAACATTTATGTCTAACCAGTTCAATTTGGTGGACAAATTTATGGAACATTATTAAAATGCCAACTAAAAACCAATGACTAAATATGCAGCAATCTCCCTAATGGAGATTTAATTTAATCCAATAACAAAAATATGTCAGAAACTTCATCTATGCAATCACACCATTTTAATTTTTTCAAATATGATTTTTTTTATATTGCATCAGCTGGAACTTTGCAAAAAGGACTTCAAAGATGGCAACCCTTATCCAATTTAGCCTTGGCATTTTGTAGAAAAAAAAAAGCAGTTTCAGTGAAATTATTTTCATAAATTTTAAATTTAACAGATTGCAATGAGAAAAAAAGAGGTATTTCAGTGTCAGGAATCAATTTCCCCCAATACTTCAGATGAAAGCAGACATGTGTGCTTCAATGTCTGCTGTTTGAAAGATCATTTCCAATGAGATGTTGTGTCCTTAAAGATACGTTGTGGAGGAGAAGCTGAGCTGGGGTTTCCCTCTCACCTTCCAGTCTCTGTGGCAGTGGCCGCTCTGCACCTGCAGGAGGCGCCACTCTGCTGTGGGAGTGGCTGAGACTGGGAGGAGTCATACTGTAAGAAGTATACTGCAGCAGAGCATCCAGCAACCAGAAACAGTCTGAGGAATAAGCAAGACGCAAAAACATGAACAAGAAGTTCCAGGTGTGTGAAAACAGATTAGAGACGAGAGGTTTCACCTTTTTGTCTGTGACTGTCGTCGATACAGTTTGAGTCTCCATACAGAGCGATGCGACCTCCCCCCTCTGAAGGGGTTTGGTACAGGCCCAGTATGGGAACTCCCTCCACCACGGCGGTCTCCTGCTTCAATACTTCCAGACCTGGACACACACACACACACACACACACACACTGCAGTTTTCTTTCTTTCTTTCTTTTTTATCCAACACACAGATTAAAATGCCTGTCTGGCTGTACATGGCTGCCCGCCAGCCTCCTGCTACACAGAGCTGGCTGACAGCCTTTAAAACTTTAAGGGGGATCCTGGTACCTTGATCTTTCAGGTTCTTGGCAATTACAATTCCATCTTCTGGGAAACGGGCAATGCTGCAGCCTGAGGCGTAGTACACTGCAAGAAAGTCAGAGACAAAAGCTTCATTTATTTTCTGTGCCAATAAGGCCTCACAGTGCAAGACCAGGGGACTCTATAAAATCTTACTGTCATGATCAGCCAGGGTGAAGTCCCCCTCATACAGCCCATCGCTGAAAGCCATCCCCCACACCGAGATCAGGTCGTTCAAAGCTGGCACATTAGCGCCCCCTGTGTCCGGCATCCACCACTGTCTGCAGGTTGCAGCAAGAAGATACTTCAGGTTTTCAAATTAAAGCATCAAAAAACACTTTAAAAATCTGATATAATTCATAATTGTTCATGCTAAAGCCCTGTAAATAGCTACACTGATAAACATCTAACGTTTTCTCACCATCTCTGTAGGCAACTGTGAGTAAGATGATTTAAAATGCAATAACAAGGCCAATTCCATATTAAAACAGAGCCACCAGTCACAATGCTTTAAAGCCATGAAGTTTGTATTTAAATGCATATTTTGCTTTAAATTTCTGGTAGGATCTAAACGGAGCAGCTGAGTAATGGTTATCTGCATGAGGAGCTCCGAATTGGAGAAGCCGTGATGTATGACATCTATTACAGAGAACGAACACATGAATAAAACCGCAGGGAGACAACCTGTGACACAACGAGCTGCACCACACAGTTCATCCCAGGAGTGTTATTACACGATAAAACTCTAGGTGAACGTAATTGTGAGGTAATAGGACATTCATCACTGACGTGCTGAATAATGGAGCGACAGGACGCATTGTTTGTTTCACAGATGGAGGCACTCTGCTGTTGATGCTAAACTATTTCAGCACAGACATACTTGAAAATGATCACATTATGAAACACCGACAGATATAAAGTGTTGGACTATAAGGTGAAATTACTACAATTTGTTTCCATAATACTGAGAACATTATGTGCATCATTATGTGCATCTGTCCAGCCTGTTAGGTTGTTTTGCATCCACTTAAACAAGCATGAACCAGAGCTTTAATTAAATCCACAATATGCTAATTACACACAGTCCACAAAAAAACAGAACATTAGGGACATAAAAAAAAAAAAACAACCCTTTCAACAAGAGATTAACTGGAACCTCTATTTACGCTGGAAAATCTGTTTTCAGTTGTGGTAAAAAGATGAAGAAACAATAAAAGAGTGTGAAAAAGATACAAATAAAACATTATAATATGGTGTTAACTTTACTGATTCTCTTATTCGTGTCAGATTTTGTATATTAATATCACACGCCTTAGTGATTCTTATCAAACTAAATTTGTATTCTGTTGCATATATTATGTGCACACTACATTATTCTATATTACATAAATAATCTCCATGTCATGAAGAGCAATTAAACATTTCAGATGGTGATTTCTAGCATGTTGTACAAGGCAACAAGAATTCATCACAATGGCTTTTTCCTTTGCATAAATATGTAACAGATATGAGTTTGTACCAAACACTTCACAGTAAGGCTGTTGTAAACGAATATTTTAGTAATCGAGTAATCTATCGATTATTCTTACGATTAATCGAGTAA